TGTCTCAGGATGGTCTAAATGCGGTTCACGTTCACGTTCACTGTAATGTTTTAGGTGATCACTAAAGAAAAGTTTTGATCATTATATGTACTCTATAATGGGAATTCAGACATGTGCATCAAGACAGCACAAAACTCTGTGAGGCATATTTGTTGATAAAATGAATGAAATACCTTCAATAATTTTATAATTATGAGATAGCTTAAGGGGTCAGAAATCATTAGTGAGGCACCCCAGCCTAATAGAAATTTCTGAGTGGGACAGCATACATGTACTTCAGACTAAATAAAGTGTGGACCTCAGAAATTGTTGATATCACTTCAAATCAGTGAAATAAAGTTTGGAGCACCTTGTTCAGGTTTCCATAGTTACTAATATTTTCATTTTCCACTTGAAAAAAATTATTAAAGGTATTAATTTGGTGTATTGTTTTGATTTTAATCAGAAATACATTCAAGAAGCTCGTATTAAGAGTGTTAGAACTCCTCAGCTTTTGGACATGTCACCAGCAGTCATGGCGCAGACAAACTGGAAATTTGTGGAAGGTCTATTGAAGGAATGTAGGGTGAAGGTAGGTTATATTTTGTACTGTAATAGATGTTTGTAATTTTTGATTCTTAGCTACTCAGAAGGAGGAGGAGGAGAATCTAATACTGGTTTTACTTTTTATATTTGAATGGTCCAGCATACTTTAAAATGTAATTATAAAATTTGAAATTTGGTAAAATATCAACAAAAGCATTTAAACAAAGTAAATTAAGTGTCAGTTTGGTTTGGTTTGCACCTTCAGAAGCACCTACAATCTGTACATGTTTCTCTCTCCCCAAGATGACTGAACTTTATTTTTAAAATTCCATTGTGACTCAAGATTCCCACAAAATCAAGTCCTATATTTCACACTCTAGAGCCTACCACATACCTACATGTACAGTTGTACTTGTCACTGTTGTTACATGTTAAATCAGAGGTTTTTCTAGAAAAAAAAATGTTAAGAGGGAGAACACCTCTATTACCACTCTATATTTGTTATAACTGATCATAATCTACTGACTGTTCCAGGTTTGGTAAGAGGACTCAATCCTAGGGTATGAGGGCGCTGCGCCATCAATCCCCTGTTTGGAAGAACCCCTGTTACCTAATTATCAAACTATTTGTTTGGTCTGTAAGTGACTTGTGAGTGTTAATACTTTTGTGCTGACTTTTATACCACCTCATCTACAGACAAAACGTATGTTGGTTGAAAAGATGGGTCAGGAAGCTGTGGAACTAGGACACGGTGAAGTGAAACTGACCGGAGTTGAGGAGAATACTTTGATTGCTAGTCTTTGTGATTTATTAGAACGTATATGGAGTCATGGATTGCAAACTAAACAGGTACGCCCTGCATCACATCTATTTTTATAGGTCATCTTGAGTTTTGTGAGTACCATGCTTCTTTAAATAAGTGCAGTATTTGCATCTCACTTCAGTTGCTCCCAAATGCAAAGTGGAAATGCAACTTTAAGGTAGTTTGCTGCCATTGAAACATGGAAAAAATTGGTCAAAGTAAATCATTCAAAAATTGTTGTGTGGTGATTCACATACATGCATGTCATTTTATATTTAACGTTTTATGGAGAAAGAAGGGTGTGTTTCCGAGACAGCATATGCAAAATAATCTGAAAAAGGACATTACTGGAACATTTTCTGTTGGATTCCATGTAAACATATTATTTCATGGATAACTTATACTAAAATTAAAAATTTTCTAATATATCATTTTTTTGGCATAGGTCACTGAACAAAATTTTGAGATATGATGGAATAGTAACTGATTGTACTCTATTCAAAAAATGCATTTTTGATCAATTTTCAAGATTATTTTGTGGAAAACTTACCAGTAGTCTGGTGACCATGTATTTTTTCATCAGAATTCTGAACTTACAGTAACCCAACCCTTCTTGCTGGATTTTGAGGATTTTGAGTATTTTTTTTAATGGTAGTAAACTGCCTTTAGTTAATACTTAGTGAAATGACAGTGTTATTTTGTTCACTGTTCTCTACAGGAAAATGCATCAAGCATATCTGCTATCGGTAATTTACTTAATTTATTGTATTGTATTTTCAAATAATCCAAGCATCTACTTAAAATGCTTTGGGAA